ATTTGAAAAATGCACAAATCAGAGACTATTAGTCCCAATTGTGTTTATAGTTTGTATATCTTATGTGGTTTGATATACTTAATTCACTATAAACTGCGCTCTGATACCAATCTGTCACACCCCACAAACGGTCCGGGGGGAACGTCGGGGGTGGATGTAATGTAAGCAAAACAGTAAATTGCAAACACATAATTGAAAAAAATCATCATTGAACTATGTATATTACATGTATAGTAATTCAGAAACATATATATATTGAAAACATCATGTATGAATTACATGTTTACGAATCATTACAATTATGATAAAATATGAAATAGTAGACGCCTTAGCGTCCCATCCTCAAAAGCACTTGATTACCTGTTTAATGTTTCCTGAGAATACAAGTTGTTTAAAAAAAATGTCAACACAAAGGGGTGGTGAGTTCATAAACTTTTCGTTTTGTAAAAGTAGTATTTGTGTTAGAAAAATCCAATATTTTCCTTAATGTGTAAATGTAGTCTTAAAACCCAAAGACCGAAATGTACAAGTAATTTGTCATATTTATAGTAAAACAATGCAAGTTTAAATCGACATAAACTCGTTAATTTTAATGAAGTTCCCGTAAATTCCAATGTTTGTTAATACTTTATGTGAGTTTATTATAACCATACTATGACCAAGGTTGCCTAAAACGACGTTCTTCAGGCGTCGGAAATGTTATGACATTTGTCACCCCCAGACCTATCGGTCTAACTGTTGCATGCAGTTTAGGTGTGGGTTTGTCAAACCCAATATAGATCTATACACAAGTATCACGCTCTCCCTCAAGGAGACTCTGGTTACAATACAGGACTTAATGGTAATTTGAAGTAATTGTCTCACAAAGTCATTAACGGAATTTCGTGTTATGAAAACTTGGTACCGTATGGCCGTACCTTGCTTAATGAAAATATCCTTTGTATAAATGTACCCTTTTTAAATGTATGTGTTATGTAATGTATAACTATACCTATTATAGTTTATCAACCAAGGGTAGTACGTGGTAATGTATGCAAACTATATTCAAAATAGTTTATTTTTAATGTTTGAATGTATCGATTGTACTTTGATTATAATCACTTGTTATTCTTTATATTTTATATGACCAAATCCATTTGTAAACTGATGTGTGTCTAAATATTAAGATAAAATGTCATATATTGCAGTAACATATAGTCACATAAAGATATACACCTTGCTCAACATGTTACAAGGTGAAATGAAATTAACAGCAACTTTTCGTTAAAAACAGTTTCTGTTACCGTTCTTAGAAAATTTATAGAAAAATCATCACAGCTCTAAATCCAAATCCGCAAATTTTGAGAGTTTGGAATATGAGTCTAGTTTGTTCGTAAATTTTATCATGATTTTTAGTGATCTCTAACAGAGGTGAAAATGTTCATAATCACAGACTGGTCGGGTTTGCCTCTGAAATGACAGGCAGTTTTGTAAAAATCACCATTAATTGTAGAAAAATCATTTGGAGATGTGCAAGTAGTCATTTTAAAGCTAAGAGTTTGAACTACTTGCACCTGAAACAGTTTTGAAAACTAAAATTTTTAAGTTGACCAAAACAGTCCGTGATTAACGTCCATCTTTTCTGATGCAATCTGTTAGAAAAAGTTTAATTGTGTTCTTGATGATTTTACTTGTATTACCCCTTTAAAACTTAAGAAAAACATGTAAATGTATGGGTATGAACTCACCTTATGTGGTTTCAGTAGATGAAAGTGAGAGAGAGGAAGTGTTCAACTCAAGAACACTAAGAAGATGTCTTGATGATTCGAGAATCTAACACCGAATAAGATGGAACTTGTGTAAGATATCAATGATTTGAGTAGAATGGAGTTTAATAATTATGTGAATGATGAAGATACTTACTAATTGAAGAAAGAAATCCCTGGAGAGGGCCTTGAAGTTCTTGAAGTTGAGAGAAAAGATGAGAGAATTTTGGAGAGTGTTCTTGGTTGCTAAGTGTAGAATGAAAGAGTTTTTATGGAGAATGAGGAGAGAGATCAATCCTCCAGCTCTTAGAACGTGGGAAGAGCTGGAGATTGGCTGTAAAGGTCCACTAAGGAGACAAGGGGTAGTGGGAAAGAGTGGCTGATCATAGAGTGAGGTGGTAGTGGGTTGCTTTTGCCATAAATTAAGGAAAAGCAAATATTCCCTCAATAATTAGTTCAATCACCAATTCTTAATATATTTTATAAAAACCCTGGAGATTTATATATTTTGGGGCCTTAGTTTATAAAATAAGTTTTGGGTGAAAATCCCACGTTAAAATAAAAAAAACGGAGTTAAAATGAAGTCGTAGTCGAAAAACCGGTAAAAAGGGCCTGACTCGGACCTCGCTTCGGACGAACTCACTTCTTCGGACGGACCTCACTTGGGACGGACTTCACTTCGGACTTCGGACTTCGGACACTTCGGACCCTTCGGACACTTCGGACACTTCGGACTTCGGACACTTCGGACCCTTCGGACACTTCGGACACTTCGGACCAGAGGTTTCGGTTTCGGATCCTTAAAGCTATTTTACTCGTTTTTATCCCGTTTCAAGCGATTTTTGACCCGGTTAAGGGTCGAGATGACCCAAATGATTACAAAAAGTTAAAGTAACTTTTGAGAGAGATTTGGGAGAGATTTGGGAGAGATTTCAATTAGAAAGAGATAGAGTGAAAACGATTTAGAGAGGTTTCGTTGGTGATTAATTTGAGTGTCCGGCTTCACAACGCAAGGTTCGTAAACCCCATTAAACCGTGTTTTAGTGTCGTACACAATCCCGATGATTGTGCAATAGTGTTTTATCGCTTTGGTTCGTTGTTTAGCACTGTTAAGGCTAAGGAAAATCAAACACATGAACTTTCCAAATGAGGATTTCTCATTAAAATAGCGAATTGTATAGTGATTACATAACGTAAACCCTAGCATACAAGGGTTATTGGAGTTGACCGGTTTGACTTGTTGACTTTGAATTGACCGAAATTTGACGGTTGTCACAACTGTTGACCATATTTTTGCAGAATGCTCTGATTTGATTGTTTTATGGTCCCGTATTGCTATTTGGTGGGGCATTAATTGTCCTTCTCAGTTGACTGTGGACTCTCTTATCAATTGGGCTGCTACAACCTCATGGAGAATCGGTCAGTGCAAAGCTTTTGATGCAGTGATCTTGACTACCTTTTGGTGCATTTGGAATTTCAGGAACGGTTTGATTTTTTAGAACGAACCCAAAGAAATCTATGATTTTGATGATGTGTTCATAAATCTTTTTATTTGGATTTCTAGTAGTGTATTAAACCAAGTTTAGTTGGTCCTCTTGGCTTCATAATCATATTTCAACTACTATTTTGATGTAATTCTTTTTCTAGCGTCTTGCTAGGCTTAATTATATTCCGCCATTCCAAAAAAAAATTTATAAAAAAAAAACATATAACTTTTTAAAAAAAATAATGAAAGAAAGTTCTAAATTAAAGTCGAAACGTTGATCACCTTAAATTATACCAACAAATATATAAAAATAAACACATAAAAATAGTTTTTTAGGTGAACGAACGAAAGTTATTAATAAAAATCAAATTATATATAATACGAGGTTAAACAACGGAAAATTTAGAAAATGAGAGGACAAAAGTAACATTTTTCAAAGTTCAAAGTGAAGGGTCCAAAGTGATATTTTAAAAAATAAAGAGGTGAAAAACACACAAAGTTATAAACATAAAATATAGGAAAAATTACATAAATGGTCATTGTGGTTTACCCATAGTCACAAACTCAGACCCTACTACTTGAAAAGACCAAAATACCCTTACACTAACGGATGAACAGTAACAAAAGGTCAACAAAAGGTCCATTCATACAAGTTTTAGAAACCACATGGGCCATGTTCATGAAAAAGAAAATAATAGGACTGACTTTGTGATTTTTGGCAAACCACATAAATCATTTTTGTAATTTTGTCTTTTGTTACAATTTAGCCAATGAAAAAAAAAACCGAACGACTTTGTATAAAAAGTTTTAAAAGTTCAAAGTTAGAAAGAAAACAAGATTTTCGTAAGTCATAGCTACAAAAAGCTATGAAAATTATGCCGTCAACATCCGTATTTTCCCAGTTAACGCTGCTGCTAAAAGACGTCTTTCATTAAAAAAATTACAGATGATATACATTTTTGTAGATGATCATCCGCAAAAATGATAGTATTCGGGTAATTTTATTTTTGTAGCTATTTGGTATAATCAACTAAATCCAAAGCCATTTTTGTGGTTATTTTGTAATAAATCTTAGAAAAAAAATGGTATTTTGTAAAAACAAAAATTATTACCCTTAATTCCAAAGTTGAACGGAATAATAACAAGCTTTTTTCAACACGCTAAAAGTTAAAAAAATATTTGCATGAAAGAAAAGATTACACCAAATTACAGTCAGTAAACATTTTACATTTATACAGGTATATGGAGTATATATTAATTATTTAAATAATTTAAAATTTGAATATATTACATTATTACTTATTAAATTATTAAATATTATATATAATATATATATATATATAATATATATATATATATATAAAATATCGATGAGTCAAATCCAAACCCATTAGATTTTTTTTTATATGCTTTGACTCGAGCCTCAAATCCTCCGCGACCCCTTGTTGTTGACAAATGATAATTGACATCAACGAATACATACAGGATCAAATTCCCTGTTCCTTTTCGAATCTTAATATCCCACACTAAAAAGAAAAATAAAAACTCAAGAATAAATCTGTATTAATACACGGTGGTGGTGGTGGGATGATGCAGGCGTGATATTGACACTCTGTTTTCCTTTCCATGGGTGGAACGCGGTTGTTATAAGACACCTCGCAAACATCTTCTGTTTAAGTAATCGAAAATCAAAATCAACAAAACATTTCAAATGTTTACCAAAATCCCAATTCCCAATTTCAAACTCTGATTCCCAAATTCATCCTTCCATGGCAACAAAATCATCCACCACCACCACAAGAAAAGAAGGCCATGGCCTCCTCCTTGGTCGGTTCGAGATCGGAAAACTCCTCGGTCATGGCAGTTTCGCTAAAGTCTACCTTGCTCGCAACGTCAAAACCAATGAATCCGTCGCCATTAAAGTCATCGACAAAGAGAAAATCATGAAAGGCGGTTTAATCGCCCACATCAAACGCGAGATCTCCATCCTCCGCCGTGTACGACATCCAAACATCGTTCAGCTGTTCGAGGTAATGGCAACAAAGAGTAAGATCTTCTTCGTTATGGAATACGTTAAAGGTGGTGAATTGTTCAATAAAGTCGCTAAAGGTCGATTAAAAGAAGAAGTCGCCAGAAAGTATTTCCAACAACTGATTTCCGCAGTAGGGTTTTGTCACGCTCGTGGTGTTTTCCATCGAGATTTAAAACCCGAAAACATATTATTAGACGAAGATGGTGATTTGAAGGTCTCCGATTTTGGTCTCAGTGCAATCTCCGAGCAAATCAGAGGCGACGGTTTGTTCCATACCTTTTGCGGTACTCCGGCGTATGTCGCGCCGGAGGTATTAGGCCGGAAAGGCTACGAAGCGGCAAAAGTCGACATCTGGTCCTGTGGAATTATCTTATTCGTCTTAATGGCTGGTTACTTACCATTTCATGATCAGAACATAATGGTCATGTATAAGAAGATTTACAAAGGAGATTTCCGGTGTCCCAGATGGTTCTCGCCGGAGCTAACACGGTTACTCAGACGACTTCTCGACATAAATCCCGAAACCCGAATCACAATCCCCGAGATTATGGAAAACAAGTGGTTCAAAAAGGGGTTTCGGCATATTAAATTCTATTTCGACGACGATAAGTTATGTAGTGTGAAACACAGCGAAATCGAAGACGACATCGATTATTCCTCCGATCAATCTTCATATTCCGAATCGGAAAGTGAAACCGAGACTAAACGGCGGCTCACAAGCTTGCCAAGACCTGCAAGTTTAAACGCTTTCGATCTGATTTCATTCTCTCGTGGGTTTAGTTTGTCGGGTTTATTCGAAGATGGTGTGGAGGAATCACGCTTTCTGACACGGGAACCAGTTTCCACCATTATTTCGAAGCTCGAAGAGATTGCAAAACTAGTGAAGTTTACAGTGAGGAAGAAGGATTGCAGGGTGAGTTTGGAAGGATCTAGGGAAGGAGTTAAAGGTCCATTAACGATTGCAGTTGAGATCTTCGAATTAACGCCTCTATTGAGTGTGGTTGAAGTTAAAAAGAAAGCTGGAGATAAAGGAGAATACGATGATTTTTGTAACAAAGAACTTAGGCCAAGATTTCAGTCACTCACGGTGACTGGTCGTTCTGGTGAACCCTCATCACATTTGCCTTCTGATAATGAATTATTTAAGAAAGATGATCAAACGGGTACTGTTTAATTCCATATTCATACACACTCTTTGTAATGATTTTGTTTGTATGATATATCCATCTTGTTTATCTTGTGTTCATTGTTTATATGGTTTTTTATTATAAGTGCTAATTGAGTAATTGCTTGAAGAAGATATGAAGCTGTTACTCGATAGGAATCCATGGAAATATTGAATACACAGTTGTACATTTGGTTAGTGACGATAGTGATTACTGAATCATTGTATACTGTAAATGATCTATAAACTTCAATTGATTGGGTAAACAGTGGTGTTCTTGATTTGCATATCAATGGTAGTAAGATTGTTAGAAAAACTGCATTTGAATCCATTCCAGATTGTAAAGCACTCCTTTTGTTGTACATGGTGGGGTTGGTTTTCGTTAAATATTTTGGATTTCTTAATTTAGGACAACCCTCATGTGTGTTGGTGTTTTGAACGGAATCCTCCATTCTGTAGAAGCAGTGTATGTGTAGGATACTAACATAAAGCATTTAGGCTTTGTTTGTTACGCACGAGAGTCTTGGACTGTGTCTGACATGAAACAAACCGAGACTTCAAGTCAAGTCAATAGGTCAAAATTTCTATTTTTTATCCTAGGTAAAAAGGTAGGCACAAATTCACTCTCGATCAAAAGACATGAACACCCTTTTCATGGAAAATTGCCTTAAAATGTTTGTCCAGGTGCCATGAGAAACCGATGATGAAATCATGTAGTTTACCAGATTTGGTCCTAATTAGGTACATACTTTGTTTATTTGAAGTCAAAGAAAGGAAATGATAGGTAGGTTTTCATACCTAATATGGTGGGTGGTGACTTGCCAATGGAACTTGGTATTTAATGAGTATGTGACGTTTAAACCCTTCTCATTTCTTTTCCCTAAATTTGTCTCTCTTTGTTGTTGGTTTGACCATTTTCCCTTTTGCTAAAAATGGCATTTTGGCATTCATTTGTGTTTATGTTAAAATTTGACAACTGTCAAAAAATTGAATTCACCGTGGTCATGTGGTGTATCATAGTAACATTACAATTTACAAAGTTAATTACAAGTTAATAATCCATATGAAAAGTCCACTGTAATTGATACCCTTTTCCTATTATCAATATTACAACCCTTTTCATATTATCAATAGTTGATATAAAATTTTACTCTATAGTTGTTTAAGGAAAAATAAGTCAGGTGTTATTGTTTTTAAATGTTTAAACTGTGTCATGTATATATGAATTAACCTTGCCAACAACTTCATTCATTTCTACCGGTGAATTATAAAATAGTAGACTCTACTAATGGGTGTGTTTGGCACAGAGCGTTTGGGAGCTTCTAAATTCTACCTTCTAGCTTTTGACAAAACACTTTATGATTCGAAGTAATAAGCTATACCTTAAAATAAAAAAAACATTTAATATTTTAAGCATAATTAACATATAAATAAAATATACAGATTAAAAGTCCGAGAAAGAAATTGATAAAGGAACAGATACATTGAAAGGAAAATGAATATATTTCCTAGGAGGATAAGGTCATAATTAAGATTCTCAGTCAATGTATCACAACTCATATAATATGTTCAGGAGGTGTATAAATAAAGGAGAGAAGAAAATGAGAAAAAACAACATCGAAAGAGAGCCATCACCTTTCCCAACGAAGCAACCCAATCACATCTCGAAAATGTGGCATAAAACTACATATATAATATGAAGTTGCCTAAGGGGAATCACCATCCGAGAAATTATTGGTAAACACTTTACACCCTTCGCCATTATATTCTTAACACATACGAATTTTCTTGTAATTTAATAAACCTCCGGAATGATGGCGAAATCACTACACATGTTTACGGGTAGGGTCGAAACGATTTGAACCCGTAAACAAGATACGTGATTTTATGTATCATCAGTTTGTCGCCATCCGTGGGACCTAGACAATACTCTTCGAAAAGAATCTAAAATAGCACGTAACGCTACCCAGATAGCAAAGACGAAACATAGCCATGAGTGGAGACGATCCTCTTCAAATTACAAATCAAAGAACAATGGATAATCTTGGCGAACCGATCGTCAAACCCACACCCATCACCCAAGACACAGGATGACCTAGCAACATTATCTCAGATCTGGACGACCCAATCATGCAATTCATGGTTCATAATTTTGATCGAATGAATGCCATGTACAAGGCCTTCACTCGAAAGCTTAAATACATGTCACCACAGCAAAATGCCTACAAATGCATACTCTTCAGTTATAGAACCGTGGATCTCAGAATCGGACGAGGTATAACCAGGAAAAGACAAAGAGAACGCTTTTGTTGAAAGCGGCAACAACGACCCCTTTAAAAATCGAGTTACGGTTGGAGCAACACCTCTCACCAATACGATTAAAAGGAGATCGACGACGAGTAATGATTTCTACCATGAGCCCTTCATATTCAAGGAATCAGACATGGGCGTACATGATTTGGTAGCTTCCCTGTTTACCAAACGGATCTGAGACTATGACATGCCAGATGGAATCAAAGCCCCTACAAATTTACGTGCATACGAATGTACGACAGATCCGGATGACCACCTGACCATATTTATGGGAACAATGGACGTGCACAAACTGCCAGAACCTACATGGTGTAGTTTTTCACATCACACTGTGTGGAGCGGTAAGATTCTGTTACGACAACCTCGCACCAGGAAGCATAGATGGTTTCCACCAATTAAGGGACTAATTCAGGGCAAACTTTTTGCAACAACGAAGATTCTAGAAGACCCAGGTAGATATCCTCGGTATACGACAAAGACGTGATGAATCACTAAAAGACTATATAGCCCGATTCAATAAAGAAACCCCACATATAGTTGATCGATTCGACGTCATGGTATCAGGAGCCTTCATTAACGGACTGCGTCCCGGACGCCTGTTTAAATACTTAATTGCAAAACCGCCAACATCGTTGGAAGGTCTGTTCACACAAACCCACAACTTTATACAAGCCGAAGATGCGAACAACGAGAATCGCCTTCGGGAGCCACGCTGAGAAGCAAAGCAACAACTGGCTTATAAGGACCTCTCGCGAAGGCAAACAGACAAGCACTTTTCCAGGTTAGCCACTAGACATGCAGAGAAGCACAAGGAAATACACACCTTCATTGCTTTAATTAAGTCTCCTGCTGAAATACTAGTCACCACTGACGGGAAAGCTATGCTTCGCCCACCACCAAAAATGTTTGATCCCTCTAACAAAAAAGGACAGGACAAAGCATTGTGAATTCTATGAAGATCATGGCTACGATACCAACGATTGCATAGATCTTCGAAAAGAAATCGAATTTTGTATTCAGAAAGGACACATGGCCCACTTGACAAAAGGAGCAAAAAATAACAACAATAACCAAGGCAATCGACTGTTAGGATCCAAAGACGCCCAGAAGAAGTGGAGTAGAAAGACGGACATTGATTCGAGACTGAGAAATGAGATACAAATTGTAACAACCCAAAATTTAGAAAGATTGACTTTTAGTCAAATGTTGACCAAAAGGGCAATTTGGTCATTTATGAGAAAAAGATGGGAATATGAAGTTGTAACTTCATGGAGATGGTTAAAAAAATTTTAAATCACTATAATAGGTTATATGAGTGAGTTCTAGAGAAAGAATGCATGAGAAATGCATTTTTGGCCAAAAGGGTAAAATTGGTATTTTTATGCTTTTTAGGCCAACTTCGTGACTTAATAGATTAAGATCTGTATTAAATAAATTATACATGACTTAAAAAACATGTAGATTATGTTTCCACCTTCGTGTGGATATAAAGAGCATCAAAAACGGATAAGAAAAAAAGAATATATGCACGTTTGAATTTGGGACAAAAACTGCCTCAAGCTGGAATGATATCAGCAACGTACTTGTTGATTGCCAGACCTCACGAAATGAGAATATGTTCTCATGACGTGAGAACAAACATATTTAAAGATATCAACTTCCTGTTTACGGCATAATACACCCAAATACCCCTATACTTGAGCTTTGGCGATTTTAACGATGGAGGAGGATCCAAAAGGCGATTTTGGGCAATTATGGCTTGAATTGAGTATCAAAAACACATGAGGTAATTCATTTCTCCATTTTTTGAGCTAGTTAGGGCTTAATGATAATTTAATGATTTGAGAAAATTAATGCGGATTATGTTATGAAAGCTTGTTAGTGATATCAATAAGAGTGTTTAGATTCTAATAATAAGCTTTGTATGTAACCCCATGAGTGGAATCAATTCAATGAGAATTAGGGTTTAAAACCCTAATTTGTGAATTTAGGAAATTGATCTTCTAGAGTTAGATTATAATGAATTAGTTATTATGGAGAGATTAATTCATTGATTGATTAAGATTTTGAGATAGAGAATGAAAAGATAGAGTTTAACCTATTGAGTGGTTATTTTGATCTTAAGAGTAATCAAGCTCTTAATAGGCTAAGACAAGTATTAAGATGCTTATTAATGTGTATGAATAGGCCTAATAGCAAAAGATGGATCAAGAAGCATCAATTGACAACAGGAGCCAAAGAGTGAGAGTGATGACTCTCACTCTTTCTTTATGATTGTTACATGTTTGATTTCATATTTATATATGTATGTATGAGAACTTTGAGGCACTAAGTGAATGCCATCAAATGATGAGGTAAAAACAGGGCGTTATTATTCATAGATATCATGTATCTGAGCATGTGTATATGATTGAAATGTATGTATGAGATATACATATTCACATGTAACGGAGCATGTGAAGAGTATACTTCCTTCGAGAATGAGTTTGATACTTCCTTCGGGATTGATGATGATATATGAGTATCTTTCCGTCGGGATTGATGATGAGATATGGGTATCTTTCCTTCGGGATTGATGATGAGATATGGGTATCTTTCCTTCGGGATAGATGATGAGATGAGAGTATGTTTCCTTCGGGAACAATATTGAAATATGAATATACTCCCTTCGAGGATAAAACTGAGAAATGAGTATA